TTTCAGGGAGCCCATGTTAGAGGGAGGAAACTTGGGCTGGGCTTATTGCTCCCCTGCCAGTTAACACTTCCCTCTACCTCCCAGCCAGCCTGGGCAGAGGGCAGAGCATGTTTCCTCGGAGTCCCACCCACTCTGGCACCACCTTCCCCTGCTCAGTCCTTCATCTTGGTATCCAGGCAACAGGAAACAAACAGGGAGGGCCAAATGAAGGCCAGTCAGGTTGGGCTTAGTTGGGGAAAGCTCTGAACCAGAAAACATTGGCTTCCCCTCTGAGGCCTCCTGGCTTCACATGTTTCTGGCAGCTCACAGGGGGCAAGACCAGCCTAGGACCACCTTAGGTTCCCCCTTGACTTGGGGAAAATCCAGGTGGCAAAGTAAAGGAAAATTTTATTTCTATAAATTCTAAAGCCAAAGTCTCACTGGACGTGGATTAATTCATCACAGTCTCCAATCTCCACATACACAGTCCAGGCCTATCAATCTTAGCTGCCAAATCCATCCTGAGGGACTGGCTCTGATCCCAGTAAGGCACTCCGGGGGTTTGGGTAGAAGGTCCCTAAGGTTCATTTCTCAAGGATCTCTCACCTTCATCCAAAACTAATCATGGCTTGTCACTCCTGGCTTCACTCTTCTCAATCTTGTCTGGCAAGGCCCTGGCTTATTTCCCATGCACTGAAACATCCCTCTTGGGTATCCCCCAGTCCTTCCTCTGGCACATCATTAGTTACCTTTCAGATCTCTGTTTTAAACATCATTTCTACCAGGTTGGTCCCTGATGGGCGAGGTGCCCTTTTCTTTGTTTGTATGGAAGGACAGACTGAATCTTTTCCATTGCTGTTTCCCCAGGGTCTAGCACAAAGCCCAGCCAATCATGGAAGGATGAAAATCCTGTTCAGTGTGGTTTGATCTCTGTGAGCTGAAGACACCTTTTATCCTCAAGATTTCTCAATACTTCTTTTAGTTTGTCATCAGGATTTCACAGTTTGTAAGCCATGGCCTCACTCAGAGTCCTTCATCCTAAACATTTGCTGAAGGCTCATGGAGAGACAGCAACCATACCAGCTCCTTACCTCTCTAACTTACCTGATGCTGTATCTCCATAGTAGCTTATAACTTCTGTTCTCAGACTCTCCTCAGAGGTTCTCTGAAGCATAGCTCCTTCCTAGGTGTTTGGGGGTTAGCTCTGGGCACGAAAGGGATGAAAGGGCATGAAAGTCCCTGAGGGACTTGAGGGGCTAGATGTGAACTGGAGGTGTTGAAAAAGGGTCAGATTCAAATATCAGTCTTGGGCCAAGGCAGAGGAAATGAGAGCTTGAGCCCAGGAAGCTAGGGAACCTGGAGAAAGGGCTGGAATGGGCACAGGCAGAGATGGTAGGACTATAAGGCTGTGTGGTTGCTGCAAAGTGGGCTTTGGAGGGAAGAGTAGGTGGCCGAGGCCTCTGCTTGTCCTTCCTGAAGAGGCTCTGAGATTGGGTTGCACCTTGTCTCAGAAGTTGGTTCTGGGTTTCTTTGGGTCCTTGTCCTGCCTCTTTAGGTCCTTGTCCTGCCTCTTTCCTCCTCTTTGTCTTTACTGGGCCTGTCTTGAATCTGTTTTTGACTTAGAATAGAAGCAAATACTACCCCAACTGGGATCATTCTTCCCTCGATAATGCATAAAAGAAGGAGCACTCTCCTCTGGGAAGTGATGAATTTTTCAGGGAAAAGTGAAGGCTTCCTTCAGAGATTTATACATTGCTTCCAGATTATAGCATCAGTCTTCTGACTCTCTCTCTGAACTTCTCTGATGGGCCATTTGCATGTGATGCTTTCTGACAGTCTTGGTCTCTGTCACTTAGTCTTGTTATCCCTATATTATCTCCCTTTCCATTCCCTCACATCTTTTTTTTTGTCCTCCACTCTCTCTTTCTCTGCATCTCGCTCTTGGCCCAGAGAGAAGTCCACCAGTGGCTGAGATCATTTTGGACCTTTATAAGATGCGAAAAGGAAGTGGGTAGGGAGGGAAATGGGATGTCCAGCAGTGAGCCTGTCAGTCTCTCTTCTTCTGCTGAGACTGAGGCCCAGGAGGAGATATGGCTGTGGACCAGTCCCAAAGGGAGGGCACTGTGGGCTGAACTATGCCTGGCACTCTCACCCCATCACCACCACCTCAAACCCCCACAGGGCTCAGGGCATATGGAAGGAAGGATGACAATTTCTTTTATAGGCTCCAAATTGCAAGGAGGTGACAATTAGTTCTCAGTAGGTCAAGAGGGATTGATGATGGTGCTCTGCTTTTCCAGGATTTGAGAAGTTCCCATGGATTCCCTCTCGCCCCACCTCCCCCACCTCCCCGTCCCAATCAGCTGTGCTTCTAAATACATGTAGGTTCTCATTCTCCCTTGCCTTCCATCTCCTAGACTGAACAACCAGACCTCCTCCCTGGTAAGACTCCTTCTGATGGGCTTCAATCAGCTCATGGTTCAGTTTGATGTCAGCACCCTCTCTCATTGCTAATAGCTTCTTGCATCCCCTCCCCAAATGGCTTTCTTAGAGCTTGACCAAGCTGTGAGCTTTGATGGTGGAGTAGGACGGACTTCACAAGTTTCATTTGTTATGGGATTAAGCTGCTTCATACCCTTCATGTGAGCTCATACACATTTGGATCCCTCCCCCAAATCTTAGAGTATATTCCATTGGTATTCTTTCAGAGGTATGGGTTGAATATGCTAGCCAAACCTGGATTTAGCAGGTACAGGGTGACATCTTTCTATATCATAAATGAAATCTCATTTTTGATTGACATGAATCCACTGCTCTGTTTTTAACACATATTTTAACCTCAACCACAGCCAATTCTACCTCAAATCCCAAACTCAATTCTAACCTAATTGCTACTAATCCTAAATCAATTTTAGCTCAGCTTCTGATTTAGCCTTAGTTGCATTCCAAAACATATCTGTAAATGAAACTAACGTCTTATTTTTTGTTACACAAATCTTAGACATAGCCACTAGCCTCGGTGCTAGCTGTAATTCTAATCCTAATGCCAACCTTCATGCAAATCCCAATCTGGCTTCAATTTCATTTAGATTTTTGCTAACCTACCCCAACATTGGTATTAGTTCAAATCCAGAACTCAATTGACTCCATTCTATCCTGTACCTGTAGTTAAATGGATTTACAACCCTTCTCCTTTCAGTCTCTTTTCCTAGCTGTCCTGATTTTCCACCCCCCACCCACCACTGACCTTCCATGCTTACTTCTTATAAATGAGTCTATTAGCTCATGGTGTCCCTAAGCCCTTTTCTTGGACCACTCTGGGCTGAGAGTCAGGATGCTTAGTTATCCTTCATTTAGCCAGTAGCAGCAACTGAGCCAAACCCTTATTTCTACTGGCCTCTGTTTCCCCAACTGTAAAATGGGGATAATGATCCCATTCTCCAGAGGGCACAGGACAATCCCATAAACCTCAAATTAAATAAGGAAATAGGATATTTACAGTGTACATCTCGTGGGTCCTGGAATACCCTGTTATTGTTAGTAGGGTAGAGGAGTTTAGAACACAGAGGTGCATGGACTCTTTCTTTGCGCTTCCTTATTGTTCTGTCTTATTCTTCCCAGAAGAGTGAGTCCTGGCAGCTCCATAACTCTTCCTAAGACTCTTCCTTCTCTGGCCTACCTGAGCCCCATGTCAGAGTGAGTGAGAGGGGGCTCTTGGCTCCTTTGAGGGCGTCAAGCTGTTTAAACAGGGTCCCTCATGACCTGCCTGCGTGGGACAGCACCCCCTCCCCCCACCGGCACAGTCACCAAGGATTGGCCTTCCTTTTTCTCTTTCTGTTGTCTAGAAACCCAAGGATCCATTTAACACTGGGGCCTGCATTCACCCCTCAAGGCCTATTAACTCTTCCTGGGCATAGAATCTGGAAAACAAAGAAATCCCCCAAAAAAGCACACACAGAAAGGCTCAGCCTTCCTTCCCACCTGTGATGGGTTTGTACACATAATCCCCCTGGTCCTGTTCCTTCATTAAAGACAACCCCACTCACTCCTTCCACCTCCCCTCATTTACACACACACACACACACACACACACACACACACACACGTCCCTCTACTGCAGGCCTCACTGAAGTATTTTAGATCTATATGTTGGGGAAAGAGGTCCCTGGAACCCTGGCACCTGGGAACCACCCTGTGTCAGTCAAGAGTGGGAGCACAGTTGCAGGGGAAGATTGTGTTCCTGAATTCACTCATTCCCTCCCTCTTTCAGCTCAGAGCACTGCTCCCTCTGAAGGGCCAGAGGGCCTCAAGGGAGGCTGGGGTATTCCTGGATGGCTTTCATCCACCTGAGCCTTTCCTCTTTCCAGGATTGGCATGGGGAATGGCTCCCCTCCCCGGGGTCACTTTTACATAGCTAATGTGGATGGGTCCCCAGAGGGTCAGAGATGCTCGCTGAATCCCTGCACTTGAGGGACACGCCAGGTCCCAATCCGGTCAGTGTTAACTCTTCAAGTCATGCCCACCCTTCTTCCCCAAGCCTGGCTTCTCCTTCCTCTTTCCCACTTCCCCCAGGGAAGGAGGCAGCAAATGAGTGGTGAGGGGAGCTCCCTGGACGCTGTAAAGTGGACGCTGTAAAATGGGGTGACTGTTGTCACCCTGAGGATGTGGCCAGGAGGAAGTGGAAGTTTAACAGGTGCCTAATTATAAGTCCCGCTGGCCGCCCTGCACCACTCTTGGGACAGGGAAGAGCTTGGGTGAGGGCTGGGTAATGCCTGGGTAGGCTATCCTGTCACCCCGCTAATTAGGGCTACTGGGGCTCCTCCCCAAGGCGGAGACCAGGCCCCCTCCCTCCCATAGAAATAACTCCGGTTGCTCCCCAGCTGGGCACTCACTGCACCTTCCTGCCACCCCGGGCAGTGTCTGGGCCCTCAGCTCCCCCTCCCTCCTCCTGCCCCTTTACACCCACCATCACCATCCCACGGGAACCCAGCTCAGGCGGAGGATACATCGAGCCTAGAGACATGGGAGTTCGAGGAGCATTCCACCTTCTACTCGTGTGCCTGAGCCCAGGTATGGGACTGGGCAGTAGGCCGGGAGGCCCAGCATGAGGCTAGATGGGCAGAAGAAAGGTTCAGCAAGGGCTCAGAGAGGAGCCTCCAAGGCTATCTGACAGGCCCTAGCAGGGTCTGCCCATCCTCACCCTACCACTATTTTGGTTTGGATACTGCCAGGACAGCCTGAACCTGAAGGATTTGAGCAGCATCTCTGTGTGGAGGTCTTTGAGTGGATCTTCATGGTGGAGGTCTGAGAGCCTCTGGGGCTCACACATGTCTGCAGATCCCTGCGTGTTATGGCCCAGGCTGGAAATGGAGACAGGGCTTGCTCTGAGTTACCTATCGGAGCTGGAGGTGGGGTAGGAGTCAGGTGAGCAGCAGCTCTGGGTGGGGGCTAAGGAGGAGCTTCCTTAGGATCAATTTCCATCAGACTTTCTACGTACTGTTCTCCTTGGGAGGGCCACTTTCCCAAGCTAGAGCCTGGGCAGAAGAACTGCTTGCTTTGAAAAGGCTGAGTCTACAGGGTATTGCTTCCAACATGGCCAGTGACCATCCAGACTTGAGACCTCTGCTCTGGGCACCCTTTGCTTTGAGAGTTCCAGGCTGTGCCCTCTCCAGGATGAGACCTGGGAGGTAAGGATGGATGGCAACTCTCAGAGTCTCCTTGCCCCTCTGGGATACTCCTGGAGGGGAGAGCTCAGGTTTGGATACTGTAGCTACATGCCTAGGTTGGGCAAGTCCCAGCAAGGGCCATTCTGTCTGGCATTGTTGGAAAGATCTCTGGGTCCCTTCAGGGGTCTGAATTTAGGATGAAGGCTGTGAGGAAGAACATGAGAAGGGGGGCCATTTTAGCGTCTGTGGTGTGGTGTGTGTGTGTGTGTGTGTGTGTGTGTGTGTTTCTGGCAGGATTGCTGTAGCACCCTCTCTGATTACTGAGCACTGGACTGGCAGAACCCCCTGCTGTGCTTGGAGAGCTGAGGCATGTCCATGTGTACAGTGTGTATCCAAGTGTGAGCACAGATTCCATGTACATGTATGTACCAAGCTGTCTTTTCTCTCCTCCTTCCCCTTCCTTTCCACCTGTCACATTCCTGCTTGGAAGCAGCTTGAAATCTCAGAATAAATTTCCCAGCTGACAGCAGCTACTACTATTGAAGTGACCTTCCCCAGAGGGTGGGTAGCCCTGGTGATTTTGTCGAGGGACAATCACTGTCTTCCTTAGAAACCCACTAGTGTCTATTACCTCCCTAAGTCTCCCAATGCAGCTCTCTTTCCACCCTGGCTTTCTTCCCTCTCTCCAGCCTCCCTCTTCTCTCACATCCCCTGGACGTATTTCTTCAGTACCATAGTAAGAGTAGTCACAGTGGGACACTAGGAATAGCTCTTCTCAAGGAGAGGGAGGAGGTGCAAAAAGGCTGGAACCCTTGGGAGGAGGCTGAGAAAGCTTCTAAGGAGATTGAGAAGCTGGGGCGAGGTTCCCTGTCCTAGGACAATTGAAGAAAAACACTCAGCCTAGTGCAGGGTGGAGACACTTTTCTTCCAGTCTGTCCCTCCTTCTCAAGCCCCTTCTTCCAAATACTCACGCTCTTGTCTGGTTGACTTCCATGGTGTGCGAAAAGGCTGCTTCCAGTCTGGGCTCTTCCCCAGGGAGGAGTCTCTGCTCTCAGATGAACTCTGGCTCATCCCTGGATTGCACTGTGCTGCCCCAGGATCTGGCAGATGGCATTGGATCCTTATCTTAGGAATGAGCTGGTATTCTCTTGGCCTGGGGCTGAAGGAGGCTTCTCCAGGTCCCGTTAGAGCTCCAGCTGCCAGCCTCTGCTCTCGGGCAAGTACTTCGTAGTTTAAAGTTGATGGCCCAGCCAGGGTTCTGAGGGTTCTGAGAATGTGAAAAGGGCCCTTGCCGGCCTTTCTAGAGGCAGGATACACCTGGCAAACAGGGCTTTTCTGCAGGTATGTCTGGTCTTGAATGAACGTGTATGAAACCAAAGGAGCATGCAGTAGGTGTGCAGTGGGTGTGTCTTCTGGATTAATACATTCTGTGTTTGGCACTAATGTGTCTGTATTTGTATAGATCTGACCATGTCTGTGAGCATAGGAAGGGGAGACGGTATAATGTTGTATCTGTGTTGATTTGTTTTGCCTCTGACAGTGTAATTGTGTGTCTGTGTGAGTGTGTGTATATGATATTCTCTAAACATGCAAGAGATCCTGAGCCATAGAGGACAGAAATGAACGACTGCAGACTTAGATATTCCTAAGGGTACATGGATTAAAAGGAAAGTCGGTAGATGGATAAGAAGGTGAGCGAGGGTCCTGGGGGAGGGATGGCTGCTGGAAGCTGGGAGGCAGGGTGCTGAGTGGGCAGGGTGAGGCCCTGGGTACATTCCCCCCCTTTTCTCTCTCTAGGTCTAACCGGTTGGGTTCTTGCCTGGGGCTTCAGGGTAGGGAGGAGAGGATTTCTAGATCTTGGCCTCCTGCCTCTGACTCAGTGGCAGGAGGGGCCTCAATGGGAGTGAGCATGTGGGAGTGGCTGTACCTCAGCCACACAATAACACCAGGGAAAGGACACACAGCCTACAATGCCACACTGCCACGCAAGGCTCATCCTACAGACACATGCTGTCCCAGCCCCAGGCATAAGCCATCAGTCACTATCACACAGGAACCGAGCCAGGTTCCAGGTCACAGCTGCACTGTCACGCAAGGGCACGTTCCATCACTTAGAGCCTTTACATACACTGCACACAGTGCCCAATACCACATGAAGATCTACAACCACACACACACACACACACACACACACACGACTACATTTGAGCAAGCATATAAGCAAATGCTTTACATGCATAAATACCTTTGCATCTACAAATACTCAATCACATAATGCACATTTGGGTACATACAGGCAAACATACAATCATATACAGACACAGCATACATAACAGCTCTGTATATGCAAATAGTACTCAGATGACACCTATGCAGTGCTGGAATATATACACGAGTCTGTGAGTATGAACAGGCTCTGCCAATGAATAAACAAGCTTGGCAAGTGTCTGCAGAGACATGCCTATTGCAGTTTACACACACACACACACACACACACACACACACACACACACACGCGGAATCCCCCTCCTTCCTCTCCCCCCTCTGGAAGCCCTCCTGAGTTCTGGGTAGCCCTGACAGAAGCAGCAGCCTGGCCAGGCTGAGGCTGGTTACTCTGGCTCTGCTCCTCTCACCTTCCCTGTCCTACCCTTCCTCAGCACTGCTGTCTGCTGTGCGGATCAACGGGGATGGCCAGGAGGTCTTGTACCTCGCAGAAGGTGATAACGTGAGGCTGGGCTGTCCCTACATCCTGGATCCTGAGGATTATGGCCCCAATGGGCTAGACATTGAGTGGATGCAGGTCAATTCAGACCCCTCACACCGAGAGAATGTAGTAAGTACTGGGCACAGAATTCTCCCTTTGTTAGACTCAATGATGACTACCTGGTGGGTCGCCAACATCCTGAGGGAGAAGGAGGTGAAACCGGGACTTCCTCCAAAGCCTCTTGGGGAATGGGGCAACAGGGATAAGAGCTGTGCAACTGGGACTCGGGCCAGCCAGTCATTCCACCTCCTCCCACCCACTCCCAGGGGGAGGCGAGGCGTGGTCCCTGCCCTGACAATTTCCAAAGTGCTTGCTTTCATCAGCTTTCACGTATTCTGTATGAAATCTGCAAAACAGGCATTGTTGTTCCTATTTTTCAGCTGAAACCCCCCCAAAAACCTGAGTTTCAGAAATGCTCAATATATTACCCAAACAGCCAGTCCACAGAGCCCCTCTTGGGCTCTGCCCGCCTCACCAGGTTTTCTCTCTTCTTCACAGTTCCTTAGTTACCAAGACAAGAGAATCAATCATGGCAACCTTCCCCATCTGCAGCAGAGGGTCCGTTTTGCAGCCTCAGACCCCAGCCAGTATGATGCGTCCATAAACCTCATGAACCTACAGGTATCTGACACAGCCACTTACGAGTGCCGGGTGAAGAAGACCACCATGGCCACCCGGAAGGTCATTGTCACTGTACAAGGTAGGATCAGTGTTCAATGGGCTCCCCTTCTCCCAGGCTTCAAAGCCTGGCCATGATGAACCTGGCTCTGCCTCCTGGCTGGATCTTGGCTTACAATTGTCTGTCTCTTTGCAGCACGTCCTGCGGTACCCATGTGCTGGACTGAAGGCCACATGGCAAAGGGCAATGATGTGGTGCTAAAGTGCTTTGCCAGCGGGGGTTCCCAACCCCTCTCATACAAGTGGGCCAAGATCAGTGGCCACAGTCACCCCTACCGAGCCGGGTCTTACCATTCCCAGCACAGCTTCCACTCTGAGCTCTCCTACCAGGAATCTTTCCACAGCTCCATCAATCAAGGTAAAGAAGTCCTAGAGGGCAGAGTGGGAATAAACAGGAACTCCGGAGTGCCTGAGGCTTCCCTAGCTAAACAGTGGCCTCCAAGCAAGCCTGGAACATTTGTGAGAGACTGCTCCTCTCATCCAGAAGCTTCCACTCTGGGAAGAAGAGAACGTAAAAGCAGCGAGTTAGTCAGAAATAGCCTGGTTAATGAACATGATCTGAGATAGAGCTGGGCTTGAATCCTGACCAGGACTCAAAACTAGCTACAAATCTCAGGCAAACAGCTTAATATCTCTGTGACTTATGAAAAGAGAAGATGAATAACTACCTTTCAGGGACAGGTAAATCTGAAATGTGACAAGGTATACAAGACTCTTAGCATAGAGCAGTGGAATGATATCCATGATGAAGGAATAATATAGTGAGAAGGAACTTGGTCCCCTGGTTTAACCCAGTCCTCACTGGACAAATAGGGAATCTGGTGCATTCAGAGAAGGTCCCTTCTGGTCCCTTCTGAAAGGGACGTATTTCCCAGAGGTCACAGAATGAATGAATGGTGTTTCTTTTTGCTGGGGCAGAGGTCTTTCCAGGTGTCTTCCACTCAGCAGGGGAAGGTGGCTCAGTTAAAAGTAAAGTGGATGTGCATGTGTGTCTAAGCCATTCCTTCCCTAAAAGCAGTGCCCAATTCCCCACTCAGGGGCTTACAAGGGCGCTCAGAGACCAACCTTCCCAGAACTCAGGAGAACCATCTAATTGTTCTTACAATCTCAGGCTTTAACGGGGACCTGGTGTTGAAGGATATCTCTGCAGAGGACAATGGGCTGTACCAGTGCACCGTGGCCAACCATGTGGGCTACAGCGTTTGTGTGGTGGAGGTGAAGGTGTCAGGTAGGTGCAGTGGCCCTAAGGGTCCCCGATGGGTGGTTTGGTCTGGGGTCACTGGACTCTAGTTTGGAGCCTTAGCCAGCTCTGTCTTTCCAGCCTCTGGAGCCTCTGCCTAGGACAGCAAGAGGCTACATGTAGACATAAAGAATCAGCTCCCAACCTCCCCAAACTTCCCACACTGGGAGTGTCCCCCAGAGACCCTCCCCCCCCCGACCCCCAGGGGTATTCCCCCCTCTCTCTCTCCCACAGACCCTGGTCTGACCCGCTGCCCTTTCTCTCCACAGACTCCCACCGTGTAGGCATGATCATCGGCTCTGTGCTGGGCTCCTTGCTCATGCTGGCGTGCCTGGCGATGGGCATCTGGGGGCTCATCTGCTGCTGCTGCGGGGGCAGCGGCACCGGCGGCGCCCGCGGTGCCTTTGGCTACGGCAACGGCGGCGGGGTCGGCGGAGGGCCCTGTGGTGACCTGGCTAGTGAGATCAGGTAAAACCTGATGCATGATGCATGCTGCTGTGCCGAGGGGACCGGCGCCCTGCCCTCTTCACCCCTGCCTGCCACCGGCCGGCTGGGACCCCTCTTCACCCCAAACCTGCTCGCCATCGCCACGGAGTGCTGGGACCTCAGCATGTCGACCTGCCACTCGCCGCATGGCTTTTCTGTCTCTCCCCCTTTTCTTTTCCCAGTCTTCTGCTCCCCTGCCCTCCATCTCCTCCTCCTCTCTTTGCACCCCACTGCCAGTCTGGTCTAGACTGTAAGCTCCTGGAGGGCAGGCTCCCCCCCCCCCCCCCTTTTCAATTTCTTCTCGTTTTCCTCGTACGCGCCGGTGACAACTCCGACATGCTTATTTAAGAAGAGTTCGTAAGACGAATAGTGCGGATAACTTAACATTAGAAACAAAGTAGAAATAAAAATAGAACAAGACTAGCAGCGCTAACGACTGCAATGCCTCGGGGATGGAGGGAGAGATGGGAAATCAGGACAGAGGAAACAGAGCTGAGATCCCTCCCTACGGGACACCAGCTTGGGGCTGCTGGCCGTGGGCGCGGGCCGTGCGGACACGCGTGGACAAGCGTGGGCACTGGGACGGTGGATCCCCCCAGGATCGCCGGCTCGGGAAGGTGCAGAGAGGAGAAGAGGTGTGGAGGGAGAGGGAGAGAGGGAGAGAGGGAAAGAGAGAGAGAGAGAGAGAGAGAGAGAGAGAGAGAGAGAGAGAGAGAAGGAAGGAGGAGGAGGAGGAGGCGGCCAGGGAAGACGGAGGGAGGCGCGGGAGACCAGAGGTTCCAAGAGCCCCCAGCTCTGCCCAGGCCGTGCCAACGCCGCGCCGCGGAGGAGCCCGCTCACGCGCCCGCCTGTTGTTTTCCAGAGTGGACGCCGAGGCGCCGGGGTGCAAGGCCAGCGGGCGCGGCAGCCGCGTCACCCACCTCCTGGGGTACCCGACGCAGAACGTCAGCCGCTCCCTGCGCCGCCAGTACGCGCCTCCGCCCTGCGGGGGCCCCGAGGACGTGGCCCTGGTGCCCCGCGCCGCCGCCGCCGCCGCCCCCGCCTGCGAAGCGGGCCCCTCCCCGGTCTACGTCAAGGTCAAGAGCGCCGAGCCGGCCGACTGCGCCCAGGGGCTGCAGCAGGTCAAGGACGGTCTTGTAGTGTGAGCGCGCGTGGCGCTGCGCCGGGCTGCGCCCCGGCCGGGAAGGAGGGGTCGGGGCTCTCTGCCCGCAGCTGGGGACAAGTTGACACCGGTGCTGACCTCGCTCTCCCGGGGCTGACAGGCTCTGGGTGCGCGAGCTGAGGAACTTCCCTCCCGAAAAAACTAAACCAAAACACCCTTTGTATAGGGAGGTTAAGCCTCCTCCCCCAGAGTGGGAGGGGGCAGGGAAAGAAAGAGGGAGGCGGTCCAGAGCTCTCTCCAGCCACATCACCCCCCCCCCCCCCCCCGCCCCCAGGACTTCTGGTCATGGGGCTGGGGGAATCGGAGGGAGGGAAGGAGGAGGAAGCCAGTCCTATCTGAGAGCCGCAGAGGAGCAGGCCGGGTGTCCCCAGCCAAGGCAGAGGGCCCCGGGGCCCCAGGTGGGTGGGGGTCTGGACTGAATTGCTCTACGTGTGAGATCTGGGATCCCAGGCAACAGTGTTAGCACAATAAAGAAGCTTTGAGACTGAGGTGACTGCGCGGGTGTTCCACGGAGGGAGGGTTGGGCGTGGGAAGGAGAGGGGCCTGCTCTGGAATGGGGAATTGCTCCTAACCACCTCCCTCATTCCCACCACCCCCTTCCACTCCTTTCTTGAGGGGGAAGTCAGAGGCAAAAGGGGACATCTGATCTCCTTAATACAGTGGGGAAATGCAGGCCCCTCAGTCTGGACTTTAAATCTAGAACCCTACTTCCCCTCTGCGTTTTATAAGGGCCCAAGAGGAAACAGAGCTATCAGAGCTATCTAACCGTTCCCTGATCATTGTCCCCACCCTCGCGATCCTGACTTCTTCCTTTCTTCCAGTGTATGCTTTCCTTCCCAGCAGTCAGGAAGGGAGTCAGGATCACTAGTGTAGAAGGCCATCTCACCCAGCCCCCCTTTTGATGGGAAGAGGAGTCACGTTTTTGAACACCCTTCAAGTGGCAGATGCTTTAAAATATTACGTTTATCTCTTTATCCTCGACTGGTGAGACAATGGACCTCTCCTATTATACACAGGGGGATTTGATATCTCAACCAAGGCAGCAAAAGTAATAACTCAGGATGTGGCTTAAGTGTAGTTGACATCAGGTTATCGTGCTGTTTCTCTGATATCTAACTTCCTTCTACAGCATTCCAGACAAAAGATGTTTCAGTCTCTTTTTGCCTAACCTCCACTGGTATAGTTCACTACCTCCCAAAGCAGGCTAGTCAGCCTCTCTGATTGTCAGAATACAATAGAACATTTCTTCTATTGGAATGAGTAGAACTCCCTTGGCCCAAGATCTACTCTTAGGGAGCTCACAGCATCCACCTTTCCAATTCACATGCTCGAATGGACCAAGTGGTTGTAATCCACACAAAACAGTTCTAACAGGCACACAACTGGACATCTGGCCAGTGTAAGGGTAGGGCATCCTCAGAAAGATCCTCTGAGGACACTTAGTTCTGACTTCCCAGCCATCTGCTTGTTGAGAAGCCTTATCTCCTCTTCTTTTGAGAAGCTCTTCTTCCTAGTTCTTGCTCCTACCCTAGGACCACATGAAGTGGTGTTTGCATGAGTGTCTGTGTTTAAGAAGCCCCCTGAATCCTTTAAGATGGCTGCTGGCAAAGGGGTGATGATGTTGTTGCCTCTGCCTTGACAAAGCTTGTAAGAAGAAATGAGATAATTGGGGAGACACAGGAAACCAGAACAACTGAACTGGGGAACTAGGCTTGGGACTGGGCTGGAGACTGGACAAGGGGGTAGAGGGAAGGGAGTTGAACAGGAAAGGAACAGAATACTATCTGTTCTTTCATTTATGTTCTCACTTTTATGAGCACCCTTCTGGTGACTTACTCACAAATAGAGTTAGGTCTTCAGCAAGGTATTGTGCTGGGCACACTTTTGTCCTGAGGCTGAGGACTGACAACATTGATTCTGGGAGGCTGCTCTGTGGAGCCTCCATTCCAGCCTTCTGCAGGGTGGTTAAGGGAAAGAGGAAGCCATCTGGCTGTACAAGTTGTGGTGTACAGCTAGCCTTGTGGGAACCAAGGAACCAACTCAGATTTACCCTTCATTTGAGGGGTGGAAACTGTGAGACTCTAGCAAGAGAACATCACTAAGAAAATGCAAGAGAGACTTCAGAAAGACTCTGTCAACAACTTCCTGTTAGGATGAGTCAATTGAGATGCCAGGGAAGTTCCTAAATGCCAGACTGACATTGCAACCCTCACTCAGCTTCATATCCCAGAACCAGGAATGAGAGACTCTTCTACTTCAATGATTTTTCTTTTTGTGCCAGTATTGGGGCTTGAATTCAAGACCTGGGTATAATACGTCAGTGTGATGGCTCAAAGTTGGCAATATCCCACTTGAGCCACAGCTCTGCTTCTGGATTTTTGGTGGTTAATTGGTGTTAAGAGTCTTATGGACTTTTCCAGTCTAGGCTGGCTTCCAACTTCAATCCTTAGATCTCAGTCTCCTGAGGAGGATGACAGGTGTGAGTCACTGGCATGCAGCTCATTCCATTGATTTTGCTGCACAAACACCCTGATCTTTTTGTTCATTTCTCCTGCCTGAAACCTTGTTCAGTGTAGGAGAGCACTTGTGGTGCTAGATGTTCAGCAGGGGCTTCTGGAGCAGTGTGGCCTTGGGAGAGGGGGAAGAGTCAGGAAAGACCTGATTTGTAACATTTCTCAAGTTTCACTGAATCTGCTTTCAGGCTCTCACACGATGTTACCAGCATGGACTTGGAGGAAATATTCAGTAGTGCAGCATTGTGTAATATTTCCACAATTCATATAGAGTAGAAATGGCCTCTGGAGCTTAGAGAACTGTAGTGCAATTATCACGTGGTGAATTTCTGGTGCTTACCCATGTTTTATTGCAACTCACTTAATTTTGTAAGTTCGTGTGATTTGCTTTTAAACAGTGTCTGTATTGAATATCTGGCTTGCAAAATTTAGGTGGGCAGTGTCATAAGGTATGTCAGTCAGCCTTGCATCACTGTCACAAAATGCCTGAGATGGTGAATTTCAAAAGAAGGAAGCTTTATTTTGGCTCATAGTTCCGGGGATTTCAGCCCAGGGTTGCTTGGCCTAGTTACCTCTAAGTCTTTAGCAAGACGGCAAGCAGTCTATCATGGTGGAAGCACATGCTGGAGGAAAAAAGTTCCCCTTGAAACAGCAATGAGAAAAAGAGGAGGACCTGGGACCCCAACATCTCCTTGAAAGACATGTCTTACACGATCAAACTTCCTTCTACTTACTCCACCTCCCAAAGGTTCCACTCCCTTCCAATCACATGTGAATTTAAATCAAACTTCTACCATGTGGCCTTTTTTTTTTTTTTTGTCTGCCTGGGGCTGAACTCTGGGCCTGCCTCAGCTCTTCAGCTCAGAGCTAGTGCCATACCACTTGAGCCACTTGACTTTTTTCTACTTATGTGGTGCTGAGGAATTGAACCCGGGGCCTCATGCATGCAAGGCAAGCACTCTACCATTGAGCCAACTTCCCAGCCCACCATATAGCTTTTGAGGGACGTTTATCCAATAGCACTAGGCAAGCAAGCAGAAGGCTGGACACAAGAGCTGCCTCAGGGTAGAAATCGTGACAGTCCCATGGTTACCTGTTTCTTCCTGAGAAGTGCAAGTAGCATAAAATAAGTTGTCTTCATTCATCTTCCTAGTTCTGCCCTTCACATCTCTCCTCAGCCTTGCCAGGGCTAAGTTCTAGTTCCTCTAGTCACTGAAAATGTATTTAGAAGTAGCTAGGTTCTATGGCTTATTCTTGTAATGCTAACTACTCAGGAGGCTGAGATCTGAGGATTCTGGTCAAAGTCAACCTGGGCAGAAAAGTCTGAGAGTCTTTTATCTCCAATTAAACACCAAAAATCTGCAAGTGGAGATATGGCTCAAGTGGGAGAGTGTCAGCCTTGAGCAAAAAACACGAAGTGAGAGCATGGCCCTGAGTTTAAGCCCCAGTAGCAACACACAGACACAGACACACACACAGACACACAGACACAGACACAGACACACACACAGACACAGACACACACACACACACACACACACACACACACATGAGTATTTAGGTAATTTACAGGTCCTTGGGAACCAACACTACTCTTTTAGTAGCTGTCAGAATTTGCCTTCTAAGGCACTTGGTGGGAGGAATCTATGCCAGCAGCACTTCCTGAATCCTCACAGATTCAGGTCCTTCTCTGATATCCATCCTAGGCTTTTAGGAAGTCATTCTTCAGCCATCTACTTTTAAGTCTCAAATTCTCAAGCCATGATTGAGGTGGCATCCTAGTGAATCCTATGCACTCCTCTTACATTATGACCAGGCATGCTACTCATTATATTTCAATTTGTAGAAACTAACTGGGAGGGGATTTTGTTGTCCAAATCACCAGAAATAAGGGAGTTTGGGGGAATTACCCAGTTGTCCATTCAGAGTTATAAAACTACCAAGCCCCTGGGGGCTTAGGCTGTGGCCTATCTGGAGATGGAGGACTGCATGAGGACTTTATCCCTGTCTTTAAGCTTCTCAGGAGCCTCCTGTGGCCATGCTTGGTGGGAAACCCTGCTCTGGAGTTTACATTCTTCATCTGCTTGGCTTATCTGGAGAAACGGTTTCATTCATTCCTGGTGTGTGGGAACAAAACTGACTCCAGACAATCTGTGGTTCTTAGGTAGAAATAATGTACTGCAGGGGAAGAAAAGGGCTGTGGAGGCAGCTCTGGGAAATCTGGAATATTTTGAGTGTGGTCCCAGTGCCTGCAGTGGGGAGTGGACAAGCTAGCCTCCTGACGCCCCTCTGGTTATTGCCCTTAGTAGCTATCTTGGATACATTTTGGAAGTGTGGGTGGAACAGGACACTGAGTATGGAGACTACGGCCTTTACTGAAGGCAGGAAAATGAGCAAGAGAGGATGGAGTAAAACTGCCGAACTCATTTTCAGGAAGGCTGAGTGAGGCGACAGTGGTCTTTTTAGGGGAGGAAGGAGAAGGAAGTAGAAAAATTACAATTTGTGAGAGAGCCATACACTCATATGCAAGGGATTCTGTCTGGGCTTCAGACAGATCTGGGTTCATAGTGATTAGTAAGTTTCTATAGCCTCAGTTTC